CACATCAAGGTCTTCGTTGTTCAGAGTTCCTCAGTGCCTTAGGAGAAGAGGGAGAAACAATACAGAGAACAAAGAAGCGAAATGAATGTCTAAATAGATTTTTTTAAACTCACAGCCTAAGCGACGGTCTGAAAGCCAAGTATGGGCCCATATACCAGTCTGGACTTCTTGACATTGAATTCTGCTGTTAGTATTTTTTAATTCCAAGAGCTTGGTTTTCCAAAGAGAAAAAGACTGGGGTCAGATTAATTGTTAACATCTAGAGAACACTTACTACAGGGCAGATGGCTTCTTGTTTGGCATAACTTAGCCTTTGTAATGACCTTACTGTCTTCATTTGGCTGATGAGAGAACTGCAGAGTTTCGATTATTTGTGCAAATTCACACAAATGTGAATTGAACCACAAGCTTCTATTATTACCTGTTCCTCTACCTTTTCCAGAACCTCCGTTCTGCCCACCAACCAACTCTGGGTCTCACCCAGTCAGTTCTTGCTGCCTTTTTATATGTCAGCAATTTTATGTCTTTATTACTCTGCGTGAAAACTCGACCCAACACTTAGCCCTTTTGTTCTACTTTCTGAGAGATTCCTCAACTTTATCTTCCATTTCTTATATAGCATTTTTTTTAAAACTGAATAAACATTTTTAATTTCCAAAAGTTCTCTTTTGTTTTATGAATTTCCTTTCCCATGGCGTCCTTAACCCCTCCTGTGAGGGTGCTTCTTCGTGTTTCTCTTTTGTTTCTTGCACTGTATCTGTTAGGTAGTTTAGATAGAAATGAGCACTGGCCAGGGGGAGAGGGAGTGGAAAGGAACAGTCCAGAGCAGAAGGAACCTGAGCTGTCAATCAATCAATCAATCAATCACGAAACCAGGATATAAAAACAGGAAAAACAAAGGAACGACGCCATTTTTCCTCTGTTGGATTGCCCAACTCCCAATTCTCGGGTGGGTACTATCTTTTACTTTTTTTTACTTCACTAATAAAAATCTTAGTTATATCATGCTTTCTGTCTCTCGTCAAAAATCTTTTTTTTCAGGTAACTAAGAACCGAGGTAATTCTTATTTCCCTTTTCCTGGTAACATACCCATTTCCTCAGGGACATCTTATTTCTTTTCCACTGGTGCTGGAGGGTTACCTCAGATGCGTGGTGACCCCTCATTCTTTGTTCAAATATGAATATAAGGCACGAATAAGCCAGCTGGAGCTGCACACCAGAAACTGACACAACACTGTAAACTGACTACAGTTCAGTAACAGAAAAGGAAAAACAAAAAACAAAACCAAAGGCCAGTTGGAGGCTTTGTTAAAATGGGGAAC